GTAAAATGAAACATACTGATTTAAACTCTGACTGCTTCAAGCACTTACATTAAGTCATTAACCTCAGCTCCTTTTTGTATAAAATGAAGTTGATATATTTGTACTGTGTGGTTTAAAAAAGAAAAAATTACCATGAAAGACCCTGGAGCTGGGCCCAGTGGCTCACGCCTGTAATCCCAGCACTCTGGGAGGCTTGAGGCCAGGAATTCGAGACCAGTCTGGCCAACATGGCAAAATCCTGTCTCTAATAAAAATACAAAAAATTAGCTGGGTGTGGTGGCACACACCTATAATCCCAAGCTACTCAAAACACTGAGGCATGAGAATCACTTGAACCCAGGAGATAGAGGTTGCAGTGAGCTGAGGTCAAGCCACTGCACACTCCAGCCCGGGCAACTGAGCGAGACTGTGTTTCAAAGAAAAAAAAGGAAAAAACCCTGGGAATACAGCAAATAAAGTGATGCTTTGTAAAATGACCAACCTAGTAATTCAACATCCCCACGGCCACAACAGAATTCAGGGAGTTTTTTCCTAAAGATATATAATGTAACTTAGTGGTCCATATCCCAAACTCTGGAGCCAGACAGATAGGTTCAGGTTCCGACTGTAGCTTAGCCTCTGCCTAGCTGTATGACCATTAGTCTCAGTCTCTTAATCTGTAAAATGGGGATAATAATGGTACCTTTCTCAGAAGGAAAATTAATCCAGGTTTGTGAAATAGCCAGAACAAGTAAGCAGCAAAGAGACGTTAGTTATTATCTTATGTTTATGCAATTCTTGATCCCTGATCTATCTGCCATCCACTTTCAGACTTCCTTGTGGATGAGAAGAGTTTGGACTCATCTCTATACTCTTTCTAGCCCAGCCTCCTTTGAAAAAGGCACACTCTTGGTCAGGCGCAGTGGCTCACGCCTGTAATCCCAGCACTTTGGGAGGCTGAGGTGGGCGGATCACGAGGTCAAGAGATGGAGACCATCCTGGCCAACATGGTGAAACCCCATGTCGATTAAAAACACAAAAATTAGCTGGGTGTGGTGGCGTGCACCTGTAGTCCCAGCGACTCAGGAGGCTGAGGCGGGAGTATCACTTGAAACCAGGAGGTGGAGGTTGCAGTGAGCCGAGTCTGCACCACTGCATTCCAGCCTGGCCACAGAGCGAGACTCCATCTCAAAAAACTAAATAAATAAATAAGGAAAAAGGCACACTCTCAATGGGATGGAGCCTACAGGCCACAGGTGAGACCACAGAGGAAAAAAAACTCAACCTGGCACACCCTGGTGCAGTGAGTTTTAGCCAGGGCACATATAACCTTGTGCCGGGGAGATGTGCAGCCTGAATCCTCATCACCCACCGCTATCCCAGCCCAGGCCTCCACTACCTCCGCAGAGACCACTGGCTTGGCCTCCTCACGTCACCACGCTATCTTCCACCGTGGCTCCACGCCTATTGAGCACGCTAGCAAAAGGGTCTTCTCAAAACATAACCCAGCCCCACACATCACACCCTCTCTATCACACACACTGTGTTCCCCTTCCCCGTCTCTGCTCCAGCTCCCAAAGCTTTTCATATCCTTATGGACACTGTGATGCCTCCTGTTAAGGGCTCTGCATACTCAGACCTGTTCTACCACCCTGGTTATCTTCCACTGTCTGTCATATCAGCTTAAGGGTCACTTTTCTCCAGATAAATCTTCCCTGATCTCTCAGAATAGGTGAAATGCCCTAAAATATGCTCTCCCTCATGTCCTGCATCTCAGTTACAAGTTTCATTGTCTGAGTTGTTAATGCCTATTTCCCTCTTCTAGAGTCTGGGCTCCAGGAAAGCACGCATGGGTCTATAGCACAGGCCCGATACATAGTAATTGCTCAGTAAACACTGATAATTAAATCAGTGAGGCCAGGCATGGTGGCTCATGCCTGTAATCTCAGCACTTTGGGAGGCCAAAGCGGGTGGATCACTTGAGGTCAGGAATTTGAAACCGACCTGGCCAACATGGCAAAACCCCGTCTCTGCTAATAATACAAAAATTAGCTGGAGGTGGTGGAGTGTGCCTGTCATCCCAGCTACTCCAGAGGCTGAGGTGCAAGAATCACTTGAACTCTGGAGGCAGAGGTTGCAGCGAGCCAAGATCACATCACCGCACTCCAGCCTGAGTGACAGACTAAAACTGTATCTCAAAAAAATAAAATAAAATAAAATAAAATCAACTGGTGAAGGAACAGCACTCTAGTCTACAGAGGAAACTGGACCTCTTGAGATGTCACATCTAACAGTCTCAACAAGGCCAGGTGAGAAGTATACTTATCAGGGGATCCCCTCCACTCCCTGTCCATCTTCCTCCTCTTCCCTAAAGCAAGGTAAGGCAGCCCCCATGCCAGGCAATACCGTTTGCCTCCAAAGCTGGGCCTCTCCTCATCCGAGTCTCGCTCTGCCCACACCCCGTAGGTGGCTTCTTCCTTGGTCTGCCAGTGGCGCTGTCGGTTGGGGTTGAACTCATTCTGGAGGTCCCAGTCAGTGATCTCGAAGTTTTCCCGCTCATCGTCATCATCATCAATGCGGTCTTCCCCATCCCGGTACAAGTGGGACAGTGACATGGCCAGCCACTAAAGGAGACAAGAAGGGCGCAGTCCATCATAAGTCCTGGGGGCAGCAGCAGGAGGAGTCCTCTATTCCTTGCTGCCTTCAGAACTTTCTCCAAATTCTAAGTCCATTAAAATTGGCATTACTGTCCAATAAAGTAGGTATTAAACACATATTTTTAGAAAACAATCGGTACTAAAACAGGTGAACAAAATACCAGGCCCAACGGTATATGATTCTTCACAAGTATATATTTACTTGTCCTAGTCAATATCACAAATATCACACACATTCACATATACATAAACCACACAAAAATATCTAAGTAGGTTATTTTATACAGTATTGCCTTAGAAAACGAGTGGATAGCTTCTTAGATCCCAGATTCCTTTATTTTTTTCTATTACTGAGGAAAGAATTTTATCTGGATCTTTGGTGGTCCTAGAAGAGTGATTTTTTTTAGAATATGTTTTTTGAAATACACTACTTGATGAAACATAATTTTTAGTTTTCCTTGCAAGACATGAATTTCTTCTGATGAGCTAAAAAACTGCAGTAATTATGAACACTATTTTAATAGTCAGATGTCCAGGGATTGAAACAAAGAGTCTACCTCATGGTAGCTGGGGGATGAGATTCCGTTGTCTTTCTTAAATTGGGATAAACTACTATACCCACCTTAGAGAATGCTTATAAGGCGAACTCAATGAGTTCAGAATAAGTGCTCAAGAAACCACAGCTTCTACTGTAGTCCCATGATTAGGTTAATCATTGTATTAGGGTTCACTAGAGGGAGAGAACTAACGGTATATATATGTATATATATAGGAATATATATAATGGAATATATATATATGGGATATTACATATTCTATATATAATATATGTAGTATATTCCATATATATAGTTATATATATTCCATTAGTTCTGTCCCTCTTAATAAATTCCCATATAGTCCATATATAAACTCCATAAACTCCCATATATATATAAAATACACTAAATACACTCATATATATATATATATATATATATATATATATATGGGAGTGTATTAAGTATTAACTCACACCATCAAGGTCCTACAATAGGCTGTCTGTTGGCTGAGGAGCAAGGAGAGCCAGTCCGAGTTCCAGAACTGAAGAACCTGGAGCCGGATGTTCCAGGGCAGGAAGCATCCAGCACCGGAGAAAGATGAAGGCTGGGAGGCTAGGCCTCTTCACATTTTTCTGCCTGCTTATATTCTAGCTGTGCTAGCTGCTGATTAGATTATACCCACACAGATTAAGGGTGGGTCTGCTTTTCCCAAACTACTGACTCAATTGTTAATCTCCTTTGGCTACACCCCCACAGACACAAGCAGGATCAATACGTCATAGCCTTCAATCCAATCAAGTTGACAGTATTAACCACCACAATCATCACTATTATTGGACTAGGGAGTAAACTTAACAAAGTGATTGTAAAATCAGGCACGCTAAAATCAAAGCCTCAGTTCAAATTCAACTCTACCACATACTCAGTGCATGAGTATCAGATGCCCGCGAAGTGCCAAGCATGGCGCACTACACAATAATATATTCGACAGGTGACAGCAATTGTGATTCCTGTCTTGCTGAAAGCCACATTAAGGCATACGGAATTCACTACTTCCACAGGCCAGGGTCAAACTCTGCCAAACGTTATCCTTGCCTTCTTCTACTCACTGGTGCCCTGGTTGGGTGCAGCTGGTCCCAACCTCTTCCAGGAGTGTATAGAAAGGAAGCGTTCTCAGAAAAGGTGGGGAATCTCAGATACATAAAGTTACACAATACCAATGTCTCCGTGGGCAGAGGGAGTGGCGATAAGCCCCGAGTAGTCACAAATTATGAAGCCCTCGTCAGTAGAAGCTAGGTACTTGCCGATCCCTTGAGACCGATGATCAACTGCGTGCATCAAGACACTTCTACAAGGTAGTTACCCTTAACTTTCACGCTTCAGGTAAGAAAAAGGAGGTTCAGAGAAGTTAGTAACTTACCCTAGGTTCCACTGCTTACAGGGCTCAAACTCAGGAGTGCTAGAAGCCAGGCCTCCGGCTTGTCTCTCTCTTGCTGTCTAGGTTTGGCGAAGGAGGCTCAGGTTCTTAACGGACCCCAAGCAGCACCGCCCTTCTCCGTGCCTCGACAGAGCTGTCTGCGAAATGGAACCCCCTCCACATCGGCTTGGGCCGAGGCTCGCCTCCCCTGAGCCGGAGCCCTACTCCCACTGTCCCTGAGTCCCCTCGTGGCCAGCCCCACTCACCTCTCCGAGCGCCCAGCGTACCAAACCCAACTTCACAGTCCGCGCCAGAAGACAGTCTCTCCTACGCCAGACCCCGGAAGCACCGGGGCCGGCGCGCCGGAAATGACGTTATCGACAGCGGATGTCGCGCTGGCTGTCGGGGCAGGACGGAACGCTGCGGCCGATTTGCCTGTAGAATGGCGGGCTGGGGTCTTAGAAAGGAGGGTTGGGCCGGGCGCGGTGGCTCACGCCTGTAATCCCAGCACTTTGGGAGGCCGAGGCGGGTGGATCACGAGGTCAAGAGATCGAGACCATCCTGGTCAACATGGTGAAACCCCATCTCTACTAAAAATACAAAAATTAAGGCCGGGCGTGGTGGCTCAAGCCTGTAATCCCAGCACTTTGGGAGGCGGAGGCGGGTGGATCACAAGGTCGAGAGATCGAGACCATCCTGGTCAACATGGTGAAACCCCGTCTCTACTAAAAATACAAAAAATTAGCTGGGCATGGTGGCACGTGCCTGTAATCCCAGCTACTCAGGAGGCTGAGGCAGGAGAATTGCCTGAACCCAGGAGGTGGAGGTTGCGGTGAGCTGAGATCGCGCCATTGCACTCCAGCCTGGGTAACAAGAGCGAAACTCCGTCTCAAAAAAAAAAAAAAAAAAAAAGAAAGGAGGGTTGGATGTGCAAGGCCCAGAATGATAGCTGGGGAGTGGTTTCCCCCTGAAGTTGGCCTCCCTGCCGCGCCTGCTTCGCACTGCGACGCTCAGCCTGTGATGGCTGATGTGGAATCCGCTGAGCCATCTTGGCCTGGGGAGACTTTGCCACTCTGTGATTGTAAATCTGTAAAATAAGAGATGTAGGATTAGCCCACAGGGTAGTTGTGGTAAATACTGTGAGATGATAGGGTGCCTGGGACACAGCATTCAATTGGGAATAATGAAGATGAAAACTCTCTCCTGTATCTTTGGCTCTGTATCATAAGCACCGTCGTGGGCACAGGGCAGTGTCCTTTATGCAGGAGTTTAAGAGGGAATGAAGGAATGAATGGGCAAACTCTAGAGTTCCCAAGTATTCTCTCCAGGAGATGTTTCCATTCTCTTCATTTCTAGCAAGTTGGTAAATTCATTCATTTATTCACTGATTTAATTAAAATATACTGAGTGCCCCTCATCTGTGCTAGGCCAAGGGGATATAGTGAGCAGAATACTCATGGGTCCTCCTTAGGAAGTCTTCACTATCCCTGGGACTCTGTGTAGACGTTTAACCGTACACAGGCTCTGGAATTCCAACCTTGACTGTGCAATTTAGCAGCTGTGGACCTTGGGCAAGTCTAAGGAAACATGTAAGCGAGTTTTCTCTTCTGCAAAATGGTTAAGGATTCAGTAAGATAAAACTGTAGGCCATGAAAACTGTGCCTGGCACACAATAGGTGCTGAGAAGGAGTCAGCTATTAATTTTTGCTTAATTTTTCTCTCTGCTCTATGTGATGAAAAGATCCAAGAGACAATTGTTGGAATGTAAAAAGAGCAAGGGACTTGGAGTCAAATGCTTAGGTCTACCATCAAATGGTTGTTAAGAATTCAACTATTTTTGTGTGCCCAGTTAAATGTGGGCTTCTTAGCAATGGTGACTGTGTCTTAATGATCTCTGTATTCCTAGGTGACATGTCGAGTAATTGTGCCTGACTCATAGTATGTACTCCGGAAAGAAATAGAAAATACAGTTTTAGCATTGAAGGCGGGGAGAGAAGGTCTAACAGACTACAAGGCCCACCAGGAGCGGAGTGAGGGAAACAAGGGGAAAAAAGTGTTTTTAGTCTGTGCCTAAATGTAAATACTTCTGTTTGCAGCCCAAAAGCCAAAAATGTACATAAGCTTGGCTTTTCTGTAGCTATGTTTATGGCTTTACAGCAGATTTGATGGAACCGCAATTACTTTGATCATGAGGGACTGATGCTAGTGGATTTGTTTTACCAAATGGATCTCACTCTGTGGCTTCTGGAGAAGGGACCTTTGTAAACTGTCATGGGGTAGTTCAGAGTGCAGGCTCTGATGTAGTGATGAGAGTCTGCATTGTCAGGAATGGGACAAAGCGAAGTCATGTGACACTTGATAGGCTGCCCTGAGAAGATGCCAACATCACTCTTGTGACATTCCTGCTGAAGATCCATAACCTGAGTAATCACGAGGATACATCAGACAAACCCAAATAGAGACATGCTGTATACAAAACTGTAATCTTAGAAAGCGCCAAGGTCATGAAAATCAAAGACCCTTGAACTGTTCCGAACTGAAGGGGACCAAAGAGAAATGACAACTAAGCACAACACATGATTCTGAACTGGTTCCTTTTGCTTGAAAGGAAATTATAGGGACAACTGGAAAAGTTTAAATGGGGCCTAGGATGCCATGCTAATGATGTGTCCATGTTAATTTCCTGATTTTCATGGTTGCCTGTTAATTACATCAGAGGATGTCCTTGTTTGTTAGAAAGTAAATTAATGTATTTGGCAGGGAATAAGGCATCAGATGGTCTCCTTAATCTCAAGTTATTATGGTGAAAATGTTTCTCTCTGTACTTACAACTTTTTTGATAATTTTAAAAAATGAAAGCTCTTTAGGAAAAACTTCAAGGATCCAACTCTCCACTTCACTACTCCTCAGATGAGGGACTGAGGGCAGGTTGCTTAACCTCTCTGCACCTCAGTTTTTCCATCTGTAGACTGGGGTTAATGACAGTACTGCTCTAAGAGTAGTTTTCAGAAAAACAAAAACAGAAAGTGGTAATTAATGCATGTGAAGCTCCTGGCATGGTAAGAGCTTCCTAAATGGTTGTGGCTATATTCTTATTTATTTATTTTTTGAGGCAGAGTCTCACTCTTGTCGCCTAGGCTGGAGTGCAGTGGTGCCATCTTAGCTCACTGCAACCTCTACCTCCCAGGTTCAAGCGATTCTTATGCCTCAGCCTCTCGAGTAGCTGGCATTACAGGCACCCCTGTAGTGATTCTCATGCCTCAGACTCCTAAGTAGCTGGCATTATGCCACCACACCCAGCTAATTTAAAAAAATTTTTTTTTCGAGACAGTCTCGCCGTATCACCCAGGCTGGAGTGTAGTGGCGCAGTATCAGCTCATTGCAACCTCCACCTCCTGGGTTCAAGCAATTCTCCTGCCTCAGCCTCCCAAGTAGCTGCAATTATAGGCATGCGCCACCATGCCTGGCTAATTTTTGTATTTTTATTAGAGATGGGATTTCACCATGCTGGCCAGGCTAGTTTCGAACTCCTGACTTTGTGAACTGCCTGCCTTGGCCTCCCAAAGTGCTGGGATTAAAGAGGCATGAGCCACTGCGCCCAACCTAATTTTTGCATTTTTCGTAGAGATGGGGTTTCACCATGTTGGCCTGGCTGCTCTCAAACTCCTGGCCTCAAGTGATCCATTCACCTTGGCCTCCTAAAGGGCTGGGATTACAAGCATGAGCCACTGCTCAGGCCTTCATTTTTAAAAAAAGCAGTATCATACCCCTCTCGGTCTCAAAAATCCATGGTTTTTCAGGATTTCTGGGATCAAATGCCCAGCCTTTGAAAAACAAGGAAAAGTTTTACAAGACAACCACAACTTTAGGTTCAAGGTCTCATATCTATCCTGATCTCCTGTCATTTCCCGGGGGAAGAAAATGAAAACGTTGCTTTCGGATTTGGGAACATCCACACTCATGTCTACATTCCCAGTGAGGTGCTCGGACATGTGGCCTTCACAAAAGGGGTTGCCAAGCAACAAGGCTCCTTGGGCAGGAGGAGGCTGGCAGAGCACTCCAACATTCCTGGGTCGATACCTCTCCTTTCACAGCTGATGCAGTGGGAGAGGCTCTGGCAGAGGGGAGGTGCCAGCACCACACAGTGAGTTTAAGGACAGGGTCAGGCCTGAAACCCGAATCCAAACTCCCAGGCTGGTGCTTGCTTTGCAGAACCATGCATAGGGTCCTGTGTTTTCAGGGCCACAGAGCCAAACTCTGCAGACATCATCTCTTCGATTCCTCGGCCTTCTAAGGTAGTTTGTTATAACCCCAGAGTCCTCATTCCTGACCTCTTATTTCTGCAGTCTGTGCCACACAGCACCCTTCCCATATTGCCTACAAAAAATTTTGGGGAAAAAAAATCCTTGCTCAGTCACAACTTTAAATAGGTTGGTACCATAGAAACAATCCATAAGTGGCATTTCAAAGCTGATATATTTAAAGACTAGCACATGTACTTTTTCTAGGACAGTGACATTATACAGTTGCACATGGCTTATTCTTATTTTGCATTTTGTCCCAAAAATATATATGGTGTCCTGAACTTGGCAGAATTGAGAACCCAGATCAGCTGAGATTAGCAATTTGATTTCCCTCTAAATGTTTCTTACAGATGGTTTCTACCCTACTTATCTTTCAAGAATTCGTGAAGACTCTGTCCTTATATAGAAAGCTGGAACATAAGGTTCCACAGGCTCTGGGTGTTATCTGTAAATCAGATATCCTCAAAACACAGTAAGGTGAGGAGCCACAGCCTTCATCATTCATTCGTTCATTTAGTCATTAACAAATATTTAATGAATACCTACGTATTATCTATTGCAGTGTAACAACTACCTCCAAATTTAGTGGCTTACCAACACCAATAAACATTATCTCACATAATTTCTTCCGGTAGGAATTTGAGAGTGGCTTAGCTAAGTGGTTCTGACGCAGGGTCTTTCATGGGGTTGCAGTCAAGCTGTCGGCTGGGACTGCAGTCATCTGAAGCCTTCACCAGGGCTAGAGGACCAGCTTCCAAGGTGCTTCTGTCACATAGCTGCTAAGCTGGTGCTGGTTGTTGGCGGGTTTCAGTTTCTTGCCATGTGAACCTCAACATGTGGCTACCAAGTGTCCTTATGACATAGTGGCTAGCTTCCTTCAAAATGAGCAAAGCAAGAGAGAGCAAGGCAGAAGCCACAAGGTCTTTTATGACCTCGTCTTGGAGTCCCACATTGTCATTTTTTTTTTTTTTTTTTTTTTTTTTTTTTTTAGATGGAGTCTCGCTCCGTTGCCCAGGCTGGAGTGCAGTGGTATAATCTTGGCTCACTGCAACTTCCGCCTCCCAGGTTCATGCAATTCTCTTCTCTCAGCCTCCAAAGTAGCTGGGACTACAGGCGCATGCCACCATGCCCGGCTAATTTTTGTATTTTTATTAGAAATGGGGTTTTACTATATTGGTCAGGCTGGTCTTGAACTCCTGAGCTCAGGCAATCCACGCGCCTCAGCTGTTCAGGAGTTCAAGACCAGGCTGATGAACATGGTGAAACCCTGTCTTTACTAAAAATACAAAAATTAGCTGGGCATGGTGGCAAGCACCTGTAATCCCAGATACTGGGGGGCTGAGGCAGGAGAATTGCTTGAACCTGGGAGGTGGAGGTTGCAGTGAGCCAAGATCACACCATTGCATTCCAGCCTGGGTGACAAGAGTGAAACTCCGTCTAAAAAAAAAAAAAAAAAAAAAAAAAAAAAAAAAAAAAAAAAAGTTGTTTTAAGTCACTCACTTTGGGACTAGTTGGTTGCCAAGAGATGAGTGGAACAATGAATGAGATTGGATGTCCTCTGCTACCCAATGACTGGTGACCAGGAGCTTCCTGGGTCTGTAATTCCATCAGCTGTCCATCCCTTACCCTGGAGGAGTAGGGGATTTATTCTTTGGGTAGAAATAGGTAAGAGATTTTTTCTTTAATGAAAAACTGCCAAGCCCTTTGGAGGCCCTGATGGCTCAGCCAGGTTAGCAGCTGCTAACGAGGGTCGAGATCTGTATTCAGTCCATCAGGCACATGTGCAGAAGACTGTTCTCCAACCCCATGCCATGACTACAGATGGCTGGCTATCAGCCAGACAAACATGCATCCTGATGAGAAGATACGGATGGTTCATCACAACCTCTCTCTTATTTCACAATGTAATAGTAATCATTAGAGCTACTATTTATTTATTTTTATTTTTATTTTTTTTGAGACGGAGTTTCACTCGTTACCCAGGCTGGAATGCAATGGTGCGATCTCGGCTCACCACAACCTCCACCTCCTGGGTTCAGGCAATTCTCCTGCCTCAGCCTCCTGAGTAGCTGGGATTACAGGCACGCACCACCATGCCCAGCTAATTTTTTGTATTTTTAGTAGAGACGGGGTTTCACCATGTTGACCAGGATGGTCTCGATCTCTTGACCTCGTGATCCACGTGCCTCGGCCTCCCAAAGTGCTGGGATTACAGGCTTGAGCCACCACGCCCGGCTAGAGCTACTATTTATTAAGCCTTCACCATGGGGCTGTCAATCTTCATTGCTTCGCTCTACTAAACTAGATCATGTGTTTGCTTATCTCACATTTCTCTTGGGTTGGGATTTCTCTTAACCATCCCCTGAGATCCCCCTATAGTTCTTAGCCTTTACTCCCATTTTACAGAGGAAAACTGAGGCTCAGAGAAGTAGAATCACCTGGCCAGTCACAGTTAGAAAGTGGCAGAGCCAGGACGTGACGCTAGTTGTGACTCCAAAGCTAATTATATATAATAATAGCACCCAAGTAATATATAGATTACCACGTTTTCATATATGGCAAATTACGGAATCAGAATGCATGTTGCCCAAGCTGGACAGAGGCTGGACCAGGGCACAAGTGACAGTTAACCCACTGCTCCAAGGGACCCCCAAGAAAGGCTCTAGAACAGGCGTCCCCAAACTTTTTACACAGGGGGCCAGTTCACTGTCCCTCAGACCGTTGGAGGGCCACCACATACTGTGCTCCTCTCACTGACCACCAATGAAAGAGGTGCCCCTTCCTGAAGTGCGGCGGGGGGCCGGATAAATGGCCTCAGGGGGCCGCATGCGGCCCGCGGGCCATAGTTTGGGGATGCCTGCTCTAGAACAAGGCTCTGATTTCACAGTGAGACGAAAATTCTGCCCAAATCAGGGTGCATGGGTGGAATTAATAAAGTTAATATGTATACCTTTCACCCCAGCAATTCTGCTTCTCATTTTGCAGAGGCTCACCCATACAGTGGCACCACGAGGTGATATATGCAGGACAATATCCACTGCAGCTTTGCCAATAGCAGTGAAAATTGGTAACGGCCTAAGGACCTAGCCAAAGTGAAATGCTCAAAAAAGATGGTTTGTTTTAGAACAGGCAGCTAGTAAAAGGAGTGGTGTTAAATCAGCACATGTTCACATCAGCAACGCTCCAGGAGCCAGGGGCGGGGGCTTGTGCCTGTAATCCCAGCACTTTGAGAGGCGAAGGCAGGATTGCTTCAGCCCAGGAGCTTGAGACCAGCCTGGGCAACACAGTGAAATCCCATCTTTACAAAAAATAAAAAATTAGCCAGGTGTCATGGTCCAGCCACTCGGGAGGCTGAGGTGGAAGGATTGCTTGAGCCCAGGAGTTAGAGGTTGCAGTGAGCTGCGTTTGTGCCACCGCGCTCCCACCTACGCAACAAAGCAAGACTCTGTCTCCAAACCAAACAACTGCCAGGACAATCTGTTAAATTACACTTTGGAATAACCTACTCAAAACGTTTTTTTCATACATCTTTAAGAGATGATAATATTTATATGTTCAAAAATTTAAAGTCTGGAAGACTATGTTCAAATAGAAAATGGTGGCGTTACCTTTATGGAAGAAAGGAGATATTGAGAAGTACCAATATAGCCACTTGCATTCTTACTATGAATTCTTGATTGTCCCATGTTTTATAATATATTCATGTAGTCCTGTAAACAAAATCTTTTCAGATCAAATCAGGGGAGAGGAGCCTAATTTTTTTAAGGGGACAGGACCCTATGCTACGACTTGGGGGCTAGAAACAGAATCTGTTCCTTCCTTTCTGTCACCTATTTTATTTTTTATTTTATTTTAGATGGAATCTCACTCTGTTAGATGGATTGCACTGACATGATCTTGGCTCACTGCAACCTCTGCCTCCCAGTTTTAAGAGATTCTTCTGCCTCAGCCCCCTAAGTAGCTGCAATGACAGGCACATGACACCATACCTAGCTAATTTTTGTATTTTTAGTAGAGATGGGGTTTTGCCGCATTGGCCAGGCTGGTCTCAAATGCCTGACCTCAGACGATCTGCCCGCCTCAGCCTTCCAAAGTGCTGGGATTATAGGTGTGAGCCACCAGGCCCGGCCTCTTTATTTTCTTTCAATGTTTTCCTTGGAAGTTCTGTGAATATTCAGGGTCTTCATGGATAAACCGTTCAGAAAAGGTGGAACTCCTGGAACCAGACATAAATTTCTTTTTGGTGTGTGTGGGGGAGGGGATGCACAGCTGTTGCCAGATTCTCAAAGGGACAATGTCACACTTAAGCAGAGCAGGAGAGTCATCAGTGATTGGTGAATGACCATTTCCCAGAGACTGTTATGTCAAAAATTTCCAAAATAAAAAGAAGTAACTGCTGAAGAAATGAATAAAAAGGGTCTCATACCTTCAAAAAAAGCCAAATTACCATTCCAGAGCAGTCTCAAGATAAGGAAACACAAGAGCTGCCTCACACTGAGGGCTCATCTGGTACCAAGGACCACTGCAACATCATCCATTAGCCAGCCCCCGTAAACCCATGAAGACTGGACAGCACAGAAAGACCTCATCTCTACAAAAAAAAAAAAAAAAAAAAAAATTTCAAAGTAGCCAGGTGTGGTGGCACATGCCTGTAGTCCCAGCTACTCAGGAGGCTGAGGTGAGGGAGAGCCCAGGAGACAGAGGCTGCAGTGGGCTAAGATCATGCCACTGCACTCTAGCCTGAGTGACAGCGAGATTCTGTTTAAACATATACACCACAGACACCATGAAGTTTTAACTTCCCTTTTTTACAGATAAAGAGAGGAAGGATCAAGCCATACAGCCAGTAGGTCAGCCTGACGCCAAAAATCCATTACCCCAAGCCACAATAAACCCTTAAAGATACAAAACTTGTGGTAGGCCCGGTTGGTCCCTCAGCATTTGGGGACCGTGCCATAAAGGGTTAACTCAGCAGGCTTGAAGTGTCCAAACCCAGCACATCTCAAAGAAAAAACTGGCTTTCCGGGGTTCCTGGGAGATAACCTCTAAGTCCTTGGAATATCCTCCCGAATAGGGGTATCTTTGTATACCTGAGGCCTTGGGCCACACCAGGCCAGATAGTTCATGATGATACTGTGATTTATAGTGGGGGCCTTGGGCCATGCTGTGTCACTTTGACCTCTGGAGCAGCTGGTGATAAAGTAACTAGTTGGTCATGTGATTGCCCTATGTGACTGACATGCAATGAAAACCTAGACCCCAAGGCCAGGGTGAGCTTTCTGGCTGGTAATATTTTGTGTGTGTTGTCACATATCAGTGTTGGGAAAATTAAGTGTGTCTGTGAGACTCCCCTGGGAGAGGACAACCGAAAGCTTGAGGCTGGTCTCTCCTGGACTCTGCCCGATGCTCCTTTTTCTTTTACTGATTTTATTTTGAGACAGAGTCTTGCTCTGTCAGCCAGGCTGGAGTACAATGGCATGATCTCAGCTCACTGCAACCTCCGCCTCCCGGGTTCAAGCGATTCTCCTGCCTCAGCCTCCTGAGTAGCTGGGATCACAGGCGCCCACCACCACGCCCGGCTAATTTTTGTATTTTTAGTAGAGACGGGGGTCTCACCATGTTGGCCAGGCTGGTCTCGAACTCCCGACCTCAGGTGATCCACCTGCCTCAGCCTCCCAAAGTGCTGGGATTACAGGCGTGAGCCACTGCGCCCAGCCCCATTTGCTGATGTTCATGTGTATCCTTTTGCAGTGATAAACCATAACCATGAGGATAATAGCTCTTCTGAATTCTGAGTTCTTCTAGCCAATCACTGATCCTGGGGGGTGGCCTTGGGGACCCCAATACAGGAATTCAGCTGTGTCTTACGTGCACCTATCTTCTCTAGCTTTTTGCTTGTCACAAATCTGACAAAATTCAATATGAAAAAAAAAACAAAAACCCTATTCATTCAGTAAAGTAAGGCACAAAGAAATGAGCCCATGTTCACTTTATTCAAATAGTATTTGTTGTTGTTCTCTGTGAAACTAGGTAGAACTGAGGAAGAATCAAAGTAAGCCTCATATATTAAATTCTTAAATAGATTCTTTGAATTCAAAGTAAGGATCAACAGGAGAGGCACAGGGTGTGTGGGCCTTGTCCCAGCAAACAAAGCCACCAAGGCAGTCCTGCAAATTAAGGAGGATGGCAAATGCATCTCTTAAAAAGAAGTTCTTGAGGGGGAAAATATAAAATACCTAAGTTTCAAAAGCCGGACTACTTCCATACCCTTTGTCCTCTACCCCAGAGTGTCCAAAGATAGAGAGTTTCAAGGTACGTTTTCAATGATTCAGCTTTTGCAAACATATGCAAATACATTCCTCATCAGCCGTCCTGTTTTGGCAATTAATAGCAAGCAATATGCTTGGATTAGAGGTCCGATTTCCACTTAAACGCAGTTGCTTTTCTTCTTGGCAATGAAGCCATTTGCAGAGATCTGAAAGGGGGAAAGACTGTGTTAGGCACAGAGTAACAGTTCTGAAACAGATCCTTTCTATTTGTACATGTGATTGCAGAACGTACAGTCTCCATCCATTCACATAAGCATTTAAGGTTTTACGAATGCATCCCAGATGGCAAGAGAGAGTTTAAAAACATTATAAGCCAGTACAGTGGCTCATGTCTGTAATCCCAGAACTTTGGGAGGCTGAGGTGGGCGGATCACGAGGTCAGGAGTTCGAGATCAGCCTGACCGACATGGTGAAATCCCATCTCTACTAAAAATACAAAAAAATTAGCTGGGCGTGGTGGCGTACTCCTGTAATCCCAGCTACTCAGGAGGCTGAGTCAGGAGAATCGCTTGAACCCAGGAGGCGGAGGTTGCAGTGAGCCGAGATCATGCTACTGCACTCCAGCCTGGGCGACAGAGTAAGACTCCATCTCAAAAACAAAACATCTCCTGGGTTCTCCCACACATCTCATCTTTCATCCACCTGACCTCAAAGATAGACTTATGGATAAAGAGCAAACGACAGTGATTATGTGATACATACCAATGAATTCTTGGAAGCAAGGGAGGAGTCATGTTTGTTTAATGCCAACTCTGTACCCAGGAATAGCTAAAGCACTCTGTATATGGTATCTCATTTAAACAGTAAAACAAAAAAACAAATCTGCTTTTGTCAATGAGAAGGTCCAGGATTCTACTAATGATCAGCAGAAAGGGAGCGAGGGGAACCGAGTTAGTGCGGAACAGGGAGGAAAGCTGTTTTTCATGAGAGGGTTCTTTTCTTTGGAACAGAGCTATGGGATCTTGGCCAGTCATGGTGGCTCATGCCTGCAATCACAGCACTTTGGGAGGCTGAGGCAGGTGGATCGCTTGAGGCCAAGAGTTTGAGAACAGCCTGGCCAACGTGGTGAAACCCCATCTCTACTAAAAATACAAGAATTAGCTGGGTGTGGTGGTGCACACCTGTAATCCCAGCTACCTGGAAGGCTGAGGCATGAGAATCACTTGAACCCCGGGAGGTGGAGAGTGCAGTGAGCCGAGATCGTGCCACAGCACTCCAGCCTGGCCAAAGGGTAAGGTTCTGTCTCAAAACAAAAACAAAAACCCAAAAGACAAAAACTCTGGGATTTTAGTGCAACTCAGGATGGGAACCCTAATAATGACAGAGTCCTTGCAGGTTGGACAGAGTCCTTGCAGGTTGGAGCAAAGTGAAAGCAAAACTTTAAAAATATGCTGATTGTTCCAAAAAAAATAAGAGTCCAGGCTGGAAGCTCTGTTTCAATATAAAATAACCTCTCTGTGGGGTTCCCTTCAGTTTCCTTGAACCTGATCATAGAGGGGACAGAAGGAAGTAAGCTCACTCACGGAGACTTAACGCCAGTGCCCAAGTCCACAGCGAGGGCCTAGCACTTCACAGTTGCCAAGCACTCCCACCTGGGCCAGTTCTCTTCATCTCATGACCACCCTCAGAGGTGGGCAAGGATGAATCCCCATTCTCCAGATAAGAAAACAGAGGCTGAAAGAAGTTAAACTGGGAGTTGTTAGATCTTTGAATTACCAAGTTCAAAAAAATCCCTTTCCCCACACCTTAGCAGAATATGGATGGATAAATGCGCACTTAAAATCTTTCACTAAAAGCAAGCCTGGGAGGAATTTCTGTCTTGGGCAACTCAAAGCCCTTCTCTGTGCTTTGGTCTTCTCTTCTGCAAAATGGGATGATCATGTCGTCTGCCTCCCAAGGATGCTGAGGGCCAAATGAGTCACACAGGAGTGGTATACCTGAGTACCTGGCCCAATGGCCATGGGGGTTATTCTTAGAACAGAACTGTTTGTGACTATTACTAGAAAATTAATTGCTTTGGGCCAACACTGATGCCATTTTTAGAAGCCAGACTGGCAGACAGCATTCCGTGCAAAAATGGTTGCAGAGTCCCTTCTCCCCAGTCATCGCGGTCCTTCTGCCCCATCCCCAGTGTCAGACAAACCTTTTCCAGCGGGTTCAGCATTAATCCCTGTCCCCGTCCTTGATCTAGAGCTAGAAGACTAAGCCTTGATTCTAAAAATAGCACCCCCAGTCTGTCACCATGGAAACCTCTGATGGGGCTGGGTCAGCCCACCCTTGTAGCCATTTCTGCCCCAGGGAGGCTCTGGAAGGACCAGCCTTTCAGAAACGTGGCTCCAGGGCCGCCCAGAAGCAGTGGGAACCTCCAGTGAAGTCCACAGGCTTACCTGGAAATCACGAGCTTCCTAAGTGGGAGGAGGTGCTGTTCTGGTTCACCTGGAGAAAGAATACACACAGGAAGGGGTCACGGCCAGGTGGGGGATGCCTCGCTGTCTTGAGGGTCACCCCTCAGCATCACGGAGTCAGGCATGTGCTTACTCATGGAATACTTATTGTACATCTACTATGTGCCAGATGCTAGGATAGCATGGTGAGCCTGACAGACCCAAAGCGACGATCACAGAACTTACATTCGAGTTGGAGAAAAAGCCTACTGAACACGCACAGATGCAAGATAATGTCAAACCTGAGCAATGTGACAGCCAATTGTGAGTGATCGGAATCTGTGCAACTTCAGAAACGGTGGCCAGGAAAGGACTCTACAAGATGGCATTTCAGCTGTGGTATAACAATAAATATTTGCTCATTGTCCCCAGTTCCTGGCACATAGCTCCCCAAACCCTTGGAATCTCTGAAGGGATAAGGGTGTCTTTTGCAAGCTAATGAGATGACTAGTGCCTGGGGATCCCTAGATAGTTTCAGGATGAGGGGAAGGGATCTCAGAAAGACCAAGGCATGATTAGAGGGTTGGGACTTTTTTTTTGAGATGCAGTCTCACTCTGTCACACAAGCTGGATGGAGTACAGTGGCGTGATCTCGGCTCTCTGCGACCTCTGCCTCCCAGCTACAAGCAATTCTCCTGCCTCAGCCTCCCAAGTAGCTGGGACTACAGATGCATGCCACCACACCTGGCTAATTTGTTTTGTACTTTTAGTAGAGACAGGGTTTCACCATGTTGGCCAGGCTGGTTTCGAACTGCTAACCTCAAGTGATCTGCCTGCCTCAGCCTCCCAAAGTACTAGGATGACAGGCATAAGCCACCAAGCCCCTCCACAGGGTTGGAACTTTAAGCCCCACCTGCCTTCCCGCCTCCCTGACCTCCTCCTGGGAGGGGATAGGGGATAGGGGACAGGGGATAGGGGATAGGGGATGGAGATTAAGCAATCACCCATGACCCATGATTTAATCAGTCATGCCTGTATAATGAAACCTCCATTGAAATATCTCAATGACACAATTTGGAGAGCTTCCTGCTTGGTAAACATATTGAGAGGCTGGGAGGGTGTCATGCCTGGAGAGGGCATGGAATTTTCATGACCCATTCCAACACTTCACCCTAGCCATCTTCCACTTGACTGTACCTGAGTTGTATTCTTTTTTTGAGACAGGGTCTCACTCTGTCCCCCAGGCCAGAGTGCAGCGGCACGAACATGCACCACAGGTGCCATACTCAGCTAAGGCTTTCTTTTTTTGTAGAGACATGGGGTCTCACTGTATTGGCCAGGCTGGTCTTGAATTTTTTAACAACATTAATGAGATCTGAAAGCTAGGGACCATGGCTTTTGAGCACTTTCTGGTTGTCTGGGGACAGGTCCCACTCCCTTTGTGGGAATCAGAGACTCATCTTTTGCCAGTGTGAAAAAATGTAGCCAGAATTAGTGAACGCTAATTTATTATTTGTTTTAACCAAAAAGATGACATAGGCAGGACAACACACAGAGGATGAGAATTACCCAGAAACCGAAATTTTTCATTTTTGTCTGTTGCCTTTTTTTTTTTTTTTTTCAGATGGAGTCGCGCTCTGTCACCAGGCTGGAGTGCAGTGGTGTAACCTCAGCTCACTGCAACCTCCGCCTCCCAGGTTCAAGTGATTCTCCTGCCTCAGCCTCCCAAGTAGCTGGGATTACAGGCGTGCTCCACCACGCCTGGCTAATTTTTGTATTTTCAGTAGAGACGGGGTTTCACCATGTTGGCCGGCATGGTCTTGATCTTCTGACCTCATGATCCACTCGCCTCGGCCTCCCAAAGTGCTGGGATTACAGGCTTGAGCCACCGCGCCCGGCGATCTCACTCTTTAACAGAGGTTTTGTTGTTGTTTTTTTTTTGTTTTTGTTTTTGTTTTGAGACAGTTTGCTCTTGTCACCCAGGCTGGAGTGCAATGGCGCGATCTCGGCTCACCGCAACCACCGCCTCCTGGGTTCAGGCAATTCTCCTGCCTCAGCCTCCCGAGTAGCTGGGATTATAGGCACGCACCACCATGCCCAGCTAATTTTTTGTATTTTTAGTAGAGACGGGGTTTCACCATGTTGAGCAAGGATGGTCTCGATCTCTTGACCTCATGATCCACCCGCCTCGGCCTCCCTAAGTGCTGGGATTATAGGCGTGAGCCACCGCGCCTGGCCCTGAATATTCATTTTTGCATTAGTCGCAGTTGTGTAAGATGAGCTGCTTGGTTTTGCTTTCTGACTATTTTCCATCGTTTGGGTTTCACTGGCACCATTTTGGATGGCTACATATGTTCGGTGGAGTGCATGTACCACCATTGACTGACTGCTTCCCTAAGACTGGTTCCAATTTCTGCAGTATTCTGAATAACATCGCATACATATCATCCCGATTTTGGGTCTCTTTGTTGGATAGTGAAGCTCTACTGAATCATTCCGTTAGAATACATTTTTTAAAAATGGAATCATGCTTGAACCTGGGAGGTGGAGGTTGCCGGGAGCCCAGACGGCGCCACTGCACTCCAGCCTGGGTGACACAGTGAACTCAGTCTCAAAAAAAAAAAAAAAAAGGAATCAGCAGGTGGAAGGGTTCAGATCTTTTGAAGACTCTTGCACAACAAGGCTAAAAGTGTTTTATAAAAGGGTTGGGGCAGGGAGTGGTGGCTCACGCTTGTAATCCCAGCATTTGGGGAGGCCAAGGCAGGTGGATCACTTGAGGTCAGGAGTTCAAGACCAGCTGGCCAACATGGAGAAACCCTGCCTCTACTAAAAATACCATTAGCCAGGCATGGTGGCAGGTGCCTGTAATCCCAGCTACTTGGGAGGGTGAGGCGGGAGAATCGCTTGAACCTGGGAGGCAGAGGCTGCAGTGAGCCACGATTACACCACTGCACTCTAGCCTGGGGAACAAGAGCAAAACTGCAAAAAAAAAAAAAAAAAAAAAAGGTTAGGCCAGTTTATACTTTCCTGATACTTCCCTGCAATGTATGACATATGCGAGATGTCTAGCTGACCTGGGACTTGTTTTTGTTGCTTTTAGGAATAAAATATGAAGGAATGACACACCCCCATGCTCAGGAGGGCCGCCCTGCAGATAAACCGCGTCAAGCCTCTACTTCCAACCCTCCTCTCCCCCACTGTCCTCCGCTGTGCACATACTGGGTATCGTAAAAACAGGAAATGGGCTTGAAGAAGCTATTTAGTAAATAGCAGCACGTGCATTCCACAGAATGCGACATAGCCACCCAAAATGGTGCCAGCGAAACTCAAAAGATGGGAAAATACTAAGAAAGCAAAGCAGAGCAGCTTGAACATTAAATCTGCGGTGAACCTTCCTGTAAATCACATTGGGGTACAAACGAACAAAAACGTAATTACAAGGGATGCAAAAGCGCATGCTCACTCCAGAGGTCTCGCCACCTCCCACTTCCAAGCGTTTACGGTTCCCTCTGCCGGGAGGGAAATTGTTTCTATCCAGATCTTTGTGTGGCGGACCTCGTTTTAATCTTTCAGATATTGCCTTATGGGTGTTTTGCAACATCAGTGACCAATTCTCTGATTATCCAGATACCAGCTGGGTGTTCAACAATTCAGTTCAGTTCTGACAGTGACTCCCAGAGTGAGTTAGCATCAGCTGCTGTGGATTAAGGGCTCGGTTCCACACCTGCCCCACTTTAGATGCCAGCTGCAATGGGGTGCCCTGGCTATCCACACTTCTTCCCAGCCAATTACAAATCTGGCAGTTCCCACAACCCCTACTCTGGTTTGATCATTCACTAGGACAGCTCACAGGACACAGGAAAGCACTTTACTAACTGCTACCTGTTTATAATAAATAATACAACTCAAGCTTGGGCAACATGCCGAAACCCTGTCGCTACAAAAAAATACAAAAATTAGCTGGGTGTGGTGGTGTGTGCCTGTGGCACTACCTGCTTGAGGAACTGGGGTCGGAGGACTGCTTGAGCCCAGGAGATTGAGGCTGCAGTGAGCCATGATGACACCATTGCACGCCGGTCTCAAAAAAAAAAAAAAAAAAAGTTCAAGAAAAAGTCACCACAAACTCCCTCCAACTGCATTCAAGCCAGATGATGAAGTGAAAGGCTGCTCCCTGGCAGAAGGGCCACTGGGATGCGGCCCCAGCTGGATCAGTGCTTAGAGACCCTCTGGTGCAGCCCACATCCCCCTTTTTATAATGGGAAAACCGTCTCAACCAGAGTGGAGAAATCACACATCTCAGGGCATACGGCCAGTTGGCAGTAGAGCTGAGAAAGACAGACTTCAGAATTCCCCTTGGGGTTTCTAACCTGAAAATATCCTTTCAGATTGGCTGGTGTTTTGTAGTCCCCTTTCAAGACCTAAAGAAGAGAAAAAGAAATATGAAAATGACCATTATGAAAATGACCAAAAAATAAAATGTAGTCATTCCCAACACATCCACTCCTCCACCCACCCTACTCACCCACCCGTCCCTCCATCCAACAAACACTGATTAAGCTCCTCTTCTTCTAGGCCTTATTTTAAGCATTGTGTCTGGTTGACACAATGTCAACCAGATAATTGAAATTCCTGTTCCCCTGGAGCCACTGTTCTAGAGGACGCACCAGATAATACACAAGAAGCAATAACCCCAAGTAAACAAGGGCATAGCAAGCCATGGGAACTGTTGTAAAGAAAGTACAGTATCACGCCGGTAATCCCAGCACTTTGGGAGGCCGAGGCGGGTGGATCACGAGGTCAGGAGATCGAGACCATCCTGGTCAACATGGTGAAACCCCGTCTCTACTAAAAATACAAAAAATTAGCTGGGCATGATGGCGCGTGCCTGTAATCCCAGCTACTCAGGAGGCTGAGGCAGGAGAATTGCCTGAACCCAGGAGACAGAGGTTGCGGTGAGCCGAGATCGCGCCATTGCACTCCGGCCTGGGTAACAAGAGCGAAACTCCGTCTCAACAGAAAAAAAAAAAAGAAAAAAGAAAAAGTACAGTAAAGAGGTATGATTAGAAGTAAGCAGGGGGCTTCTTCTGAGTGGGCAGTCAAGAAGGGACTCTTGTGCCAGGTGCAGTGACTCAGGCCTGTAATCCTAGCACTTCTGGAGGCTGAGGCAAGAGGATCGCTCGAGTCCAGGAGTTTGAGACCAGCCTGGGAAACATAGCGAGACCACATCTCTACAAAAATTAAAAATTAGCTGGGCATCGTGGCATGCATTTACAGATCCTGCTACTCTGGAGGCTGAGGCTGGAGGACTGGTTGAGCCCAGGAGGTGGAGGCTGCAGTGAGGTAAGATCACATCACTCCACTCCAGCCTGAGTGACAGAGCGAGACCCTGTGTCTTAAAAAATGAATGAATACAAATAAAAAAGGGCTTCTCGAAATAGACAACTTTTGAGCGGAGACCCAAACAACAAGGAAAAATAGGTGGGCTAAGCTCAGAAGAAAAAGACCCCTCAGGCAGAGGAAAAAGAGCAAAAGTCCTGAAGTTAGAGCATTTCAGGCCCTTCCGCTAGGAGTCACATTTAAAAAGAAAATGAAACCAGGGAAATTCTAGTATCTTTTATTTAACGTGATATAGCTAAAAACTTTTATTTTTTTTTTTTTGAGACAGGGTCTCAAAAAAACAGTGCCTGTAGCCCAGGCTGGAGTGTGGTGGTGCGATCATGGCTCACTGCAGCCTCCACTTCCCAGGCTCAGGTGATTCTCCCACCTCAACCTCCCGAGTAGCTGGGACTACAGGCACACGCCACCATGCCTGGCTCATTTTCTGTATTTTTAGTAAAGATGAGGTTTCACCATGTTACGCAGGCTGGTCTCAAACTCCTAGGCTCAAGCAATGTGCCTGCCTCACCCTCCAAAAGTGCTGCGATTATAGACATGAGTCATCACATCCAGCCTATCTAAAATATTAACATTTCAATATATAATTTATATGAAAGCGACTAGCGAGAAACATTACATACTTGCTTTTTGTCCTAAGCCTTCAAAATCTAGTGTGTATTTTACACTAACAGCTAGCGGCTACCGTATGGGACAGCGCAGGCAGAGACGATTTCATTGGCATAGCTATCCTTTTAGCCACTGCATTTACTGAACCCCAGGATCCATTATTGGAACACACAGGGTCCGCAGCACAGACAGGAACACACAGGCACGCATGCGCACTCACAGGGCTTAGTGAGAGGACTTAATCTTCACAGGAACAGCCAAGCTATAGCAAACACTGAACCAGGGCTCTAGCACTTGCCAAGACTTGTGGACTATCCCAGGGAAGAAACCTCTTTGGAAGAAAATGAGAGACAGTTTCCACTATAAATAAACACAAAAAGCTCCAAAGAGTTGTTAACCACCGGTGCTCATGAGAATTATTTGTTTTATAAAATATATAAAGTCAGGCCTTACTCCGGGAACTTCTGACCTATGTCCTGGGGCAAGCCAGGAGCACCCAGCCACCTTTTAAAGAGACCCCAGAGGGGCCACTGCTGGGCCCTTGCTGAGAACAATGAAGCAAGCAGCACCCAGCCCACTACTGCAGCACCCCCAGCCGGCCCTGGCCTCTGCTTCTGAAAAGCACCTGGGGCTGGCTTTTGAGATTACTACCACCTTCTTTTTAATCCAGTTAATTTTTTTTTTTAAGACGGAGTCTTGCCCTGTCGCGCAGGCTGGAGTGCAGTGATGAGATCTCAGCTCACTGCAACCTCCACCTCCCGAGTTCAAGCAATTCTTCTGCTTCAGCCTCCTGAGTACCTGGGACTACAGGCGCACATTGCCACGCCTGGCTAAGTTTTTGTATTTTAGTACAGATGGGGTTTCACTGTGTTGCCCAGGCTGGTCGAGAACTCCTGAGCTCAGGCAGTCCACCGGCCTTGGCCTCCCGAAGTGCTGGAATTACAGGTGTGTAATTACAGGAGCCACCGCACCTGGCCAATTAATGTTTTATTATGATAATACATGTACAACACATAGGTAAAGTATGTAAAACACATAGAGAGTTTAACGATTACTATTATTAAAGAATAATAAAATAAAAATAATATTTATAATAAAAATAATAAACCACATCTGGGTTGCACCGTTCACCTGTCAATGTCAGCTGGGTATGTACGTTGGAGCTCTGAGTATTTCCGTAAATAGGTGTCTGCAAAATCAACGAATGTCAAGACGAAGAGGAACTCATGAGACCCACAGACAAAGCTTACACTTCAATTACAAGGGCAGAGCCCCCAAAGCTCAGTGTTAGTAAATTCTCTTTGTTAAAGAGAGATCAGTGGGTGTTGGAGAGGCACTAATGACTTGTTAGCACCAAAACGAAACTTCCTTCTTGAGCCAAATGAAGAGTTATAGAACTAAGAGATGACTAACATTTTTCCGCTGTGATTCAATACAGGAACTGCTCACTTCCTAAAATCAGCACACGCTCAGAAGTGCTGAGCTTATCTTAAATGAAATACTCTGGGTCTGAATGGTGCAAGGGTTTTGAAAGCTCTTCTTCCGGCCTGGGTCCCATTTTCAAATATTTGCTATAAGGAAGTCAGAACACAGCACTTGAAGTGAACTAGAAGCTGTAATGGCAACGTGTAAGTAAGGACATGAACTTGTTAACTGTTCTTCTAGGCAGTGGGCAGGGGGCGTTAGCCTACTTTAACACTTCAAAGCATGCTGTCAGTCACTGGAGGCTCACACTTGTAATCTCAACACTTTGGGAGAGTGAAGCAGGAGGATCCTTTATGGCCGAGAGTTCTAGACCAGCCTGGGCAACACAGTGACACCCCGCCTTTATGAAAAATAAAATTAGCTGGGCATGGTGGCGTGCACCTGTAGTCCTAGCTACTCAGTGGAGCCTAGGGTGAGAGGCTGCCCTGAGCCCAGAAGGACAGGGCTGCAGTGAGCTGTGACTGCACCACTGCACACAGCTTGAGCAACAGAGCAAGACGTGTCTCAAACAAAAGTAAATTAAACTAAGAAGTCATTTCCCTTCACCACCTTAACTACAGAGAACTTTGAAAGTAACTTAAACAGCCCTAAATTCACATTTGTCTGAGAAATCAACATTAAACCTTATCAGGCAAGAAAGAGACCAACAGTTTATTTATGTACATTCCCTCTCAACAAAGACTTGAGGTGCTTTGCAAACAGATAAACAAATAGCCAGGGAAAACAGGGGTAAACACGTAAATAAAATCAGAGAAACAAGATGACATCAGTGTACAAGCTGGCCTGCTGTTAGATGTTAGAGTATGAGAGACAGGCTACCCGTTGGCTTTGAGCTTCCCTGCAGCCCTGGCAAAATGGAAATACAAGCCATCATGCAGTTCACTGTGTCCTTCAGATAGAAACAAACCAGATGACCAGGAACTGAGAGACTGGCCATCTTCTCAGGTGGCTGGAGCTTCCACGGCTGCAAAGGCCCCAAATCCCCGAGAGCACATTTCCACAAGCAGGCGCACACTCACCCGGTGCGTGTTATTGATGACGATGGGGTCAGGGTTGCCGTAGTTGGGGGGGTTTGCATAGGGGTCATAGCCAAGCCGAGCCAGCATGGGGGCGATCTGGGCCATGTCCCGCAGCACGTCCCCAGGGATGTGGCCAGTCCACTTGGAGAGCGCTTCCAGGTTAACAGGCTTGATGACCTGGTCCGTGGACCGCTCAATCCTGGGGAGAGAGGAGAGGCTGGAGAGGGCAGGGCAGACCCAGATGGCGCCTGAGCGGGTTCCCTCCCTGCTCAGCCACTCCGGGGCAGCAGGAAAGGTTGAGGAACCTGGCCTCTACCCAGCTTTGCTCCACCAACTGTGAGACTGAAGGTGAGTTATTCTGGTTCCTCGTACCTCCTCTGTACAATGGAAAAACGGTGAAAAGCACACAGCAAAAAGTCAGAATAAAGTACTAGCACTACACACCACTGGTACATACATTCTGCTGTCTTGACTTCTGCTTGAAAAATAACGTTTGAGGTCAGGCACAATGGCTCACACCTGTAATCCCAGCATTTCAGGAGGCCAGGGCAGAAGGATCACTTGAGCACAGGAGTTTGAGACCAACTTGGGCAACACGGTGAAACCCCGTTACAAAAATTAGTTGGGCATGGTGACAAGTGCCTGTAGTCCCAGCTGCTCTGGAGGCTGAGATGGGAGAACTGCCTGAGCCCAGGAGGCTGAGGAAGCAGTGAGCGTGAGCTGTGATGGCACCACTGCACTCCAGACTGGGCAACAGAGCAAGAAAGAAAGAAGAAAGAAAGAAAGAAAAAGAAAGAAAAGAAAGAAAGAAAGAAAGAAAAAGACTTCTTTTTTTTTTTTTGAGACGGAGTTTCGCTCTTGTTACCCAGGCTGGAGTGCAATGGCGCGATCTCGGCTCACCGCAACCTCCGCCTCCTGGGTTCAGGCAAGTCTCCTGCCTCAGCCTCCTGAGTAGCTGGGATTACAGGCACGCGCCGCCATGCCCAGCTAATTTTTTGTATTTTTAGTAGAGACAGGGTTTCACCATGTTGACCAGGATGGTCTCAATCTCCTGACCTTGTGATCCACCCGCCTCGGCCTCCCAAAGTGCTGGGATTACAGGCGTGAGCCACTGCGCCCGGCCCAAGAAATACTTTTTAATGAATATGACTAACATGAATATTTTGTCCCTGAAAAAAAGTTATAAAACATTAATGATGAAGCTAAAAGCCACTGTGGTCATCACTGGGAGTCCATCAGCTTCCTACAGGTACTCAGCCTCTGCACTGTGGAGCACACCACCCTCTGGAACCTTTTCCTGTAGGGTGGTTAAGAGCAGACCGCAGAGCCAGACTGCCTGGGTTCAAATGCCAGCTCTTCCCCAGCTGTGTGGCCTTGGGAGAGTTACTTCACCTCTCTGAGCCTCAGTTCCCTCTTCTATATTGGCAGTAGTGCCTACCTCAATGGGCTGCTCTGAAGACTAAATGAGTTAATACAAAGAAAGTACTTAGAAGAGCACAGGGACATTGTAAGTTCTTTGTTCTTTTTTGAGATGGAGTCTCACTCTGTCACCCAGGCTGGAGTGCAGTGGCACGATCTCAGCTCACTGCAACCTCCACCTCCTGAGTTCAAACAATTCTCATGACTTAGTTTCCCAAGTAGCTGGAGCTTCAGGCATGCACCACCATAGCCAGCTAATTTTTATATTTTTATCAGATACGGGGTTTCACTATGTTGGCCAGGCTGGTCTCAAACTCCTGACCTCAAGTGATTCGCCCCCCTTGGCCTCCCAAAGTGCTGGGATTACAGACGTGAGCCACCGTGCCTGGTCAACACATTGAAAATTCTTAATAAGGGTTAGCTTTCTCTCTCTCTCTCTCTCTCTCTCTCTCTCTCTGTCTCTCACACACACACACACACACACACACACACACACACACGTCTGCAGCTGTAAACCAAATACGCTACAGATTTTCTCCCCACTCAATACCTTGTTCTTTTTGCCATCAATGTAGACTTCCTCCATAACTTATTTTTCTGTTCCCCTAAAGACAGACATTTAGGTTGTTTCCAACCTTTTGCTGTTATCTCGAAATAACCCTCATCTACAGCCTCTTCCTAACTCTCCCTGTAACAGGCTTACCAAGACGCCCGAACGATGTAATCTACCAATGATAACTCAGGGGCCTGATGGGATGAATGGTGGGGAACCCCCAGGATCAAGGACCTAGTTCTAAATGCTTTCATCCCCACTAAGAGGTGACTTGGTAAAGGTGGCCTGTGCCTGTAATCCCAGCTACTTGGGAGGCTGAGGCAGGAGAATCACTTGAACCCGGGAGGTGGAGGTTGCAGCGAGCCGAGATTGTGCTGCTGCACTCCAGCCTGGCGACAGAGCGGGACTTCGAAGAAGCAGAAGAAGAATAGAAAGAGGCAGCAGAAGGAAGAGTGGGAGTGAGGTGAGGAGAACCGGGGAAGGTGAAAGGGTGTGGACTAGTGGGTAGAACACAGATTGGGAGGCTGCAAACCTGGATTTAAATCTTAATTCCACCCAATAGGTAAAAAATCTCGAGTATATGCATGGCTTTTCCTAAAATCCTTGTGTCTCTAGGACTTCACCGCACAGAAATGATCCGGGCACATCCCAGAACATGAATGAGGGCAATGCTTGATACACGTCAGAAAAACTGGAAATGACCCACGTGTCCAACAAGGGGAATGTGAAGTCGAAGATGGCAATCCGTGTAGCGGCCTCTTGCACAGCTATTCAAAATGATGCTGCAGACCAGATGTGGTGGCTCACATCTGTAATCCCAGCACGTGGGGGAGGCCGAGGCAGGCGGATGGCCTGAGGTCCGAAGATCGAGACCAGCCTGGCCAACATGGTGAAACCTCATCTCTCCTAAAAATACAAAAATGAGCAGGGCATGGTAGCAGGTGCCTGTAATCCCAGCTATTCGGGAGGCTGAGGCAGGGAGAACTGCTTGAACCCAGGAGGCGGAGGTGGCGGTAAGCCGAGATCGTGCCACTACACTCCAGCTGGGGTGACAGAGAGAGGCTCCATCTCAAAACAAAAAAAAAAAACGCTGCCGAAGGAGAGTGCTGGGTGCCACTGGCACGTACTTCCAGGCCACAGTGGAAAAAGGCTACAAAGGAGTATGTTTCGTTGGGCTCCGGTTTCATCAATCGGCCCCGAAAACTGCAATACGCCACGTATCTAGATCTGGGTGGTGAGATCCTTGGTTGTTTTTCCCTTCTTCTTTGGTGTATCTTTTCTAACTTCCTACAGTAAAGAGGTATTACTTTGGTAATCTAATATTTTTGTCATAATAATTTATAAAATCCTAGCTCCAGCACCGACTGGCCAGGGTACCCGGTAGGTAGGCACTTGATTGCCGGGGGTGGGGGTGGAGGGGCAGCTGCGAGCCTCTGGCTCTACTCAGGGCCTGGCGGGGGTCCAGCAGGGACCGGCCATGGGGGGACCACCCTTTCGCTGGGCTCTCAGGATGTCCAAAGCCTGATCAGGATGGGAAAGTGTGGAGGTTGCATACTCTGCTCCAGCATCGTTCAAAGTACTCTGGGTCTTGGGACAGGGACAGCAGCTTTTCCACTGGAAGAAGGCAGGGAGCAAGGGACAGAGGGAGGAGGGGAAAAAATGAGGGGGAGTGAAGGGGAGGATGGGAGAAAGAGCTCCGGCCATGGGGAGTTTAAGAGCACAATAGGCCAGGTGCAGTGGCTCATGCCTGTAATCTCAACATTTTGGGAGGCCGAGGCAGGAGGATCGCTTGAGCTCAGGAGTTGGGAGACCAGCCTGGGAGATACACTGAGATCTCATCTCTGCTAGAAATGAAAACAAAACGAAACAAAACAAAATGAGCTGGGTGTGGTGTTGCCTGTAGTCCCAACTACTCGGGAGACTGAGGTGAGAGAATCGCTTGAGCCCAAGGTTGCAGTGAGCTGAGATCAGCCTGGGCAACCTAGTGAGACCCTGACTCAGACATGGGTTCCAATCCCAGCACCATGCTTTGTTAGCTGTGTGGCCTCAGGCCAGTAACTTCCCTTCTCTGAGATTCAGTTTTTTCATCTATAAAACAGGGATAAGAGGAGCTCCTGCCGCTTCAGGTCGCTGTGAGGATTAGAGATAATACTTGTTGGCCGGGCGCGGTGGCTCACGCCTGTAATCCCAGCACTTTGGGAGGCCGAGGCGGGTGGATCACAAGGTCAAGAGATCGAGACCATCTTGGTCAACATGGTGAAACCCTGTCTCTACTAAAAATACAAAAAGTTAGCTGGGCATGGTGGCGCGTGCCTGTAATCCCAGCTACTCAGGAGGCTGAGGAAGGAGAATTGCCTGGACCCAGGAGGCGGAGGTTGCGGTGAGCCGATATTGCGCCATTGCACTCCAGCCTGGGCAACAAGAGCGAAACTCCGTCTCAAAAAAAAAAAAAAAAAAAAAAAAAGAGATAATACTTGTTGAGGGCTTAACCCAATACTTGCCACCAAGTAGGCGCTCAACAAATGACAGTGGTGAAGATGATGAGCAGTCCATCAATAAAAGCAGAGTCAACACTGAAATAGTAATAATGGCACCTAACATGTACGAACCTGTCTGATGCCCACAAAGGAAGCAATGGATGCCCACGGCTTGGGTCACTTGCCCAAGTTCACACAGCTAGGAGGTGGCAGAGCTGAGGTTTGAAGCCAGACATCTTTGTTCTGGAATCTGTGCTCTTAACCTTTACCCACTATTGCCTTATTACAAGCATATTCAAAGTTTGCAGATACTAGGCCGGACGCGGTGGCTCACGCGTGTCATCCCAGCACTCCGGAAGGCCAAGTGGAAGGATCGCTTGAGGCCAGGATTTTGAGACCAGCCTGGGCAACATCGCAAAATCCCATCTCTACCAAAAATACAAAAATTAGCCTGGCTTGGTGGCCCATGCCTGTAGTCCCAGCTACTGAGGAAGAATGAGGCAAGAGGATCACTACTCATTATTGAGTAGTTGCTCAATAAATATTTCTGGAATGCGCCTTGGTTGAACAGGGAGACGGAGGCTGTAGTGAGCTGTGATGGTGCCGCTGCACTCCAGCCAGGCCACAGACCGAGACAGTGCCTCAAAAACCAAACAAAAACCCACAAAGTGTGCAAACTCTCTCAGAAAGGAGAGTGGTTGTTAGCATTTTTTGAGATAACGAAACGGAGGCTCAGAGAGATACAGTGACTTGCCCAAGGCCACACAGCTCAGGAGAGGCAGTGCTGATTTCCTCGCCTGATGCCTCTGACTCCAGGGCCAGAGTCTGCCTGGAGGCATTAGGGGCTCCACTCACTTGGACAGGGAGACACCACCGGGCTTGCCAATGAGGTCTTCATGGTGGAGGACAGCGTCGTTCCAGGCGATGCCAAGGAAGTCGAGGATGAGCTTGAGGGAGCGCTTGGGGTGCAGCACCAGCTGCTCGTAGTACACGGGCAGGCACTTGTCCTTGCCCACCTCCATGCACTGGGCGTACATCACCTCGATGGCCTTGTTCCACTTGGTGAGGCAGTCACGGTAGCTGCTGAGGTCGAAGCCCGCGATGGTGACTTTGCGCGTGATCATGGAGTGCACGGAGGCCCGGCCGTCCCGCACCATCAGCAGGAACTTGGAGTTGGGGAACAGGCGTGACAGGTAGACCGAGGACTTGAGTGTAAACGGGTCCTTGTTGCAGAGAACGCGGGCCGGCTCTCCGTGCTTGGCGATCACCTCCAGGATGAACGCCTGCATGGCTGCGTCCAGCACCTCATCGGTCACCCCCGCCTCGTCCAACCGCAGCTTCTCACGGCCAGACTTGGACCAGGCCTGGCGCATGGCCAGCACGCGTGGGATGATGCGGGTCTCCTCGCCGCAACGCACCTCGGGGTGGGCATCCAGCATGGCGCGCATCAACGTGGTGCCGCTGCGGGGCACGCCGCCCACGAAGATGAGTGGCATGGCCTTGCCGTAGCGGTACTCCACGTGGTTGGTGCCCACCATCACCAGCTCCTCCTGCTCCGGTCGCATGGCCCGCCGGGGGCTCCGCAGGCCCGCCAGCACCGCCTGGCACTCTAGCACCTGCTGCCCCAGCTGGACTGCCAGCACCAGAGCCAGGGCGCAGCCGGCCGCCAGCAGCACCCTCCGCACCGACAGGCGCATGCTGGGCCGGGGGCGTGGCAGGCCCAGCCTGGGGGCCCGCTTCTGGGGCTTCAGCGACAGGTTAGCGGGCAGCCCGCCAGGCTCACATCTGGGGAGAGAGGGGGACATGCACAGTCAGGGAGGTCTGTGAGGGGTGAGCTCTGCAATAACTGCAAACGAGAGGCTGCTGACGTGAATGCAGAGGGCACCTTTCATAAGCACTCACTGTGTGCCTGGCACCCTACTGGGTACTTTATCTTTTTTAAAGAGACAGGGTTTCAGCCATGTTCCCCAGGCTGGTCTCGAACTCTTGGGCCTGGGTGATCCTCCTACCTCAGCCTCCCAAAGTGCTGGGATTACAAACATGAGCCATAAGTCGGGTCTTTTGTGTGTGTGTGTGTGTGTGTGCGTGTTTAACACTTTTTTTTTTTAAAGACCAAACCGCCGGGCGCGGTGGCTCAAGCCTGTAATCCCAGCACTTTGGGAGGCCGAGGTGGGTGGATCACGAGGTCAAGAGATCGAGACCATCCTGGTCAACATGGTAAAACCCCGTCTCTACTAAAAACACAAAAAATTAGCTGGGCATGGCGGCCCGTGCCTGTAATCCCAGCTGCTCAGGAGGCTGAGGCAGGAGAATTGCCTGAACCCAGGAGGCGGAGGCTGCGGTGAGCCGAGATCACGCCATCGCACTGCAGCCTGGGTAATAAGAGCGAAACTCCATCTCAAAAAAAAAAAAAAGAAAGAAAGAAAATGAACTACGAAAAGATGCTTAATAGAAGACCAGACTTATGGCTCATGCTTGCAATCCCAGCACTTTGGGAGGCTGAGGCAGGTGGATCACAAGGTCAAGTGTTTGAGACCAGCTTGACCAACATGGTGAAACCCTGTCTCTACTAAAAATACAAAAATTAGCCAAGTAGTAATGTGTGCCTGTAATCCCAGCTACTCAGGAGGCTGAAGCAGGAGAATCCCTTGAACCTGGAGGAGAGGTTGCCGAAATTGCATCACTGCACTCCAGCCTGGGCAACAGAGTGAGACTCTGTCTCAAAAAAAAAAAAAAAAAGAAAAAAAAAAAAAGGCTGGAGTGCAGTGGGTGGTGAGATCATGGCTCGCTGCAACCTCAGACTCCCAAGTACCCGGGACTACAGGCACACACCACCGCACCTGGCTAATATTTAGAAACAGGGTCTCACTTCAAGCAATCCTCCTGCCTCAGCCTTCCAAAGTGCTGGGATTACAGGCGTGAGCCACAGTGCCCAGCCACTTTACCCATCTTAACTCATGGGACCCTTCAACAACCTTAGGAAGGGAGGTACTGTTATCAGCCCAAGGGAGGTGACAACCTGACAGCCTGAGTTCAAATCCTTCTCCCTACTTCTTAGCTATGGGACCCTGGCCATCAAACTATACAATGCTAGATTCCAGCATGTCTGCTCCACGAGGGCAGGGAGTTTTGCCCATTTTGTTCACTGCTGTACCCCTCAACTCTTAGCACAGTGCCTGACACCTAGTAGTTGCTCAATAAATATTTCTGGAATGCGCCTTGGTTGAATGAGCAGAGTCTGACACAGGTTAAGTGCTACGAAATCATCGTTGTAGAGAGAAGAGGAAACTAAGGCACAGGAAAGTTGCTCGGGTGCCCAGCTGGGAAGCAGCCAAGCCAGGGTCCACGGTTCAAACCCAAGCCAGCCGGCTCTGCTCTGAATCACCACTCTGCCTCATTGGCAAACATTTTTCAGAAGGCTGAGCATATCCTGGTCTAGATTTCTTCCAGGATCATCATTCCATCATTTGTTCTTCATTCACTCAAGTGCCAGGCACTGTGTTTGGAGCTGGAAACAGGACAACGGACAAGATAGCAGGACTCTGAACTCAGGGAGCTTAGGTCCGAGCAGGAGAAGCAGACGATACGCAAGGTATGGACACACCATGATAACTGTCTTAAAGAAATGAACAGGACACTGTGAGAGGGACCAAGGAAGGAAGGAGGAGAGTAGTCAGGGAGGGCTTCCTGAAGGAGCTGGTAATCCAGGCCACGACCAAGATGAGAAGGAGCCAGCCATGCAGAGCCATGTGGGGAGCGTGTTTTAAGCAGAGAGAACACAGAGTGCAAAGAGCCCCAGATGAGAAAGGGTGTGGGGTCTTCAAGAACTTGAGGCTGAGAGTGGCGGCTCACACCTGTAATCTCAGCATTTTGGGAGGCCAAGGCAGGAAAATCACTTGAGGCCAGGAGTTTGAGACCAGCCTGGGCAATTCAGCGACACTTATTTCTAGGGGCGCGGGGGTGCCTGCCTGCGGTACTGGCTACTCGAGAGGCTGAGATGAGACGATCACTGCAGCCTGAGAAGTCAGTGTTGCAGGCCACTGCACTCCAGCCTACACAACAGGGCGAGACCCTGTCTCGAAAAAATAAAAAGGAAAAGAAATGGAGAGCAGGCTGCTGGGGCTAGAGGGGGAGCGGGAAGGATGTGGTGAGGTGCCAGGCAGGTCCTCAGGAACAGAGGAAGGAGCTGGACTCACTCTGCAGACAGCCCTGAGGGGTGAGGATGGACGTCAGGAGGCCAGGCAGGAGTCTCCTGCCCGTGTCCTGGGGAGGCTCAGAAATGCTGGACCTTTAAGGATGGGTGGGGGAGGAAGAGAAAAGACCACTTAGGGCATGAATGGTGCCCCTGAGCCTGGGCCCCTCACCCCCACCCCCGCAAGGAGCTGCTGATAAAGACCAGACTTCAGTGGCAGTTGTTCAGACTCATTTTAAAAAGCAAGTCCACTCCCTCTGTCACATCCCTCAGTAATAGATCTGCCTTCTTTCCCAGATCATCCCCAGAGCCCCTGATTTTACAACTTGAGCCCAAGGCAGACCGTGCGGACCACGGCCCTGGAGGGACGCTCGGCCGATCTCAGACCGCCCCAGCCATTCCCTGCTTCACCTTTGCCGTGTTTCTGAGGCTTACTTTCCCTGACTGCCCCTCCTACCCCTTTCCAGAAGCAAGGTGAGGGCTGAAGCCTCTGGGCGTTCAAGGAGTCGGATAGGCTAGGGTTCAAATCCCAGCTCTGCCGTTTCCTGGCTGAATGAGCCTGGGCAAGGGACTCATCTGTAAAATGGGCCTAAGAGTGTCAACATCAAAGGGCTGTCATGAGTAGTAAGTAACCCTCTAGATGGAAACTATTTAAGGAGGTGCTCAGCACACAGGAAGCAGTGGAAAGAATAGTAGCAGTTTCTTTTGTTTATTTATTTATTTATTTTTTTGGAGATTCAGGGTCTCACTCTGTCACCCAGGCTGGTCTCAAACGCCTGGCCTCAGGTGATCCTCCTGCCTCGGCCTCCCAAAATGATGGAATTACAGGCATGAGCTACCCCATCTGGCCCAAGAAGATCAGTGATTTCTACCACAATGAGTGTTGATTTATTCCAACATTTAACAAGCACCTACTATGTGCTGGGAGCCTCGGCCTCCCAAGTCTACTCTCACAATGGACCTGTGCCTGAGAGAGACTGATGGGTTGTTCCCGCACAGGTGAGGGAAGGTCCCCATGCAGAATTCTGAGCCGTGGGTAGAAAACAGGCAGGTAGCCGGGCGCGGTGGCTCAAGCCTGTAATCCCAGCACTTTGGGAGGCCGAGGCGGGTGGATCACGAGGTCAAGAGATCAAGACCGTGCTGGTCAACATGGCGAAACCCCGTCTCTACTAAAAATACAAAAAATTAGCTGGGCATGGTGGCACGTGCCTGCAATCCCAGCTACTCAGGAGGCTGAGGCAGGAGAATTGCCCAAACCCAGGAGGCGGAGGTTGCGGTGAGCCGAGATCGCGCCACGGCACTCCAGCCTGGGTAACAAGAGCGAAACTCTGTCTCAGAAAAAAAAAAAAAAAAAAAAGAAAGAAAGAAAACAGGCAGGGGGAGAACAGTAAGAAGCATGCTCCCAGCAAAGGAATGGCCAGTGCAGAGCCACGGGCAGGGAAGAATGCGGCACGGTCGGGCCACTGCAGGCGGCTTAGCAAACGGAGGGTCTGCTGGGCGCCAGCGGGGAGATGGCATGGTTCTTTGGATGTGAGGTTCCACCCAAAACCACCTGGGGGCCCCGTGTGCGGCTGGGCCTAGCCACTCGCAAGGGCTTGGGCTGCCTGGACCCTCTCAGGCTGTGGCAAGTGGAAGATGAACATCGAAGCGGAGGGCACACCGTCTCAGGCCTGGGGTGGAAACAGGTCAGACACTAGGACTTCCTGGCAGTGTCGCTTTGGGAGAGTCACCTCCCCCACCTTAGCCACAGTTTCTTCAGCTGCAAAATCAGGGCGGATCCACTGACCACAGAGGCTACTGTGAGGGTGTGAGAAGCCGCTAACACAGCAGAGACAGAGCTCAGGCTGGGGTCACCGGCCTCTCTGAGCACTGGGGAATTTCCCTGTCTTCAGAAAAACGGATGAAGTTCTGCTGAAGACGCTGGGGCTTCACTGTACCCTCCATTCAAGGTCTGTGATGGGGAAAGCGAATTCAGGGCTGCTTCCTGGGGGAAGCAGGCCGAAGAGGATGTGAAGCCATTCAGAAATCCCTGCAATGACCTGTCATCTTCCTCAGATGTTCAGTGAAATTCTCCCCTTAGACCCGTGACTAGAATTCTGTCGGTTATTAGGATTTCAGGGATAGCGTCCCCACCTTGGCGGGGGGAAGCTGTCAATCACACCATCACACCTTAGCTTAAATTAGACTAATCACCCTTTTGGGTGAACCCATGAAGATGGGGATACAGAGAAAGGGAAATAATTTCGAAACTGTAAGCGGCATCCAGAAAAAGTGTGTCCAGTGTGCACGCCACTGCGTATGTATGTGTGTGTGTGTGCTCTCCAGCCGAGGCTGGGTTTAGTACCAAGGGAAAAAGCCTGAAAGCAGGAATAGACAAAATAAGGAAAAATGTATCAGCTCTCCAGTTTTGCTTCATGCTACATAGTAATCATTCATTTGATTTCAGCATTTTTCTTTTCTTTTTTTTTTTTTTTTTTTTTTTTGAGACTGAGTCTTGCTCTGTCACCCAGGCTGGAGTGCAGTGGTGGGGTCTTGGCTCAATGCCCCCTCCGCCTCCCAGGTTCAGGCGATTCTCCTGCCTCAGTCTCCCAAGTAGCTGGGATTACAGGTGCGCAGCACCATGCCTGGGTAACGTCTGTATTTTTAGTAGAGATGGGGTTTCACCACGTTAGCCAGGCTGGTCTCAAACTCCCGACCGCAGGCGATCCATCCACCTCGTCCTCCCAAAATGCAGGGATTATAGGCATGAGCCATCGTGCCCAGCTGGCCTCAGCATTTTAAGTTCAGCAAAGGCGTTTGCATGTCTGGAGCATAAAGTCTGCGAAAGCATTTTCCCCGCAACAGCTAAGCTCAAAGAGGTGAAGCAGCTTCCCCAAGGTCGCACAGCCAGAGTGGCAGGCCTTGCTCAGACCAGGCCGAGGCGGAGCTGTTCACCAGAAGAAAACAGCTCAAAGCAGACAAGTCAGAAGTGAGAAGATGACGACAAAGACTTGCAGAATGAGGCCGGGCGCGGTGGTTCACACCTGTAATCCCAGCACTTTGGGAGGCCGAGGTGGGTGGATCACGAGGTCAAGAGATCGAGCCCATCCTGATCAACATGGTGAAACCCCGTCTCTACTAAAAATACAAAAAATTAGCTGGGCATGGTGGCGTGTGCCTATAATCCCAGCTACTCAGGAGGCTGAGGCAGGAGAATTGCCTGAACCCAGGAGGTGGAGGTTGCGGTGAGCCGAGATCGCGCCATTGCACTCCAGCCTGGGTAACGAGAGCGAAACGCCGTCTCAAAAAAAAAAAAAAAAACAACAAAACAAGACATGCAGAATGACTTAAGAAGAAAAAGCAGAGTGACTTGGGACACAGAAAGCAGCCCGGAACCCACAAAGCAGAAAGGAGCTTCCTGGTTACCCAGAGCTAGGGACCCCACTGTGGGAGGAGCTAGAGGGCCCGGCCCAGGGACCTAGGGCTGCCAGCACCCTCATCACCCTGCGGGACCCTGGCAAGGGAGGTGCCCTGGCGTCTTCGCAGTGAGCATGATGAGCACTCCACTCCCAGGTTCGAATCCCCCGTCTGCCACCTGCCAGCCGGTGATCTGGACGAAAAGACATCACTGTGCCGGCTTCTACTTTCCTTCTCCAAAAACGGGGCAGTGATACCCTTTTCCCATGGAAGCCGTTTGGAGGGCCAATAAACTCTTGTGGGGTGCCGAGAAAACACCCCCAAAACACTAACGTTAGCAGAACGGGACACAAGAGGGTTTCCGGTCCGGCCATGCCTTGAATCTGCTCCATGATCCTGGGCAAGTCCCCCCCCCCGCCTTCCGTGGTACTCGGCCTTCTTTCTCCTGTCACCTGGAGGATCATCTTCCCAAGAGACAAGGAAGATGCTCGTCTCTCTATGGTGCTTGCTGGGGTGCGGCGTTTTGCTTTTCTTTTTGAGATAGAGTTTGGCTCTTGTTGCCCAGGCTGAAGTGCGGCGGCATGATCTCGGCTCACGGCAACCTCCGCCTCCCGGGTTCAAGCCATTCTCCTGCCTCAGCCTCCCAAGTAGGTGGGATCACAGGCGTGAGCCACCATGCTGGGCTAATTTTGTATTTTTAGTAGAGACGGGGTTTCTCCATGTTGGCCAGGCTGGTCTCGAACTTCTGAACTCAGGTGATCCACCCACCTCAGCCTCCCAAAGTGCTGGGATTACAGGTGTGAGCCACCACGCCCAGCGGATGTACCTTTTTCTAGTACCAGATTTCCAACCTTGTGGCTGAATAGAAAGGTGAAAACCAGCCAGGGGAGTTGGCCCAGGCGCCCAATCATGGAGGCTGGGGGCATGGAGGGGACTCTTTGAGGGCGGTCTCGGGAGGAACCAGGACTCCAGGGGAAGTTCCTTCTGGGTGCACTTACCTCCTCTGGGCACTCTCATCTCTGGGCTCCAGCCCTTGTGCCTGTGTGCCAAGGCTGTCTGCTGGCAGAGCCCTAGAGAGGCAAAGGAGATACTGCATCAGGGATGGGCACCGTGGAGAGAGGCCGAGCGCCTGGCCCCTTCAAAGAGGCAGAGTGAGGGTTCAGGGTCCCAAGAGCACCTGACAGTGACATTTGGGAGAAGAACTCTGGAATATAGGGGAGGCCACTTCGGCTCAAGATACCACAGCGGGAATCTCACCTTACCTGCTCCTACAGGGAATGAACTGGCTCACTTCTCAGGCAGAGAGGTGTGAGCTGAGCCTGGGCTAAGGCACTGCTGCCTTAGAGAGCCCCTGGTTTCTGCCAGCCAGGCCTCTCCCCTCCTCCTGGCTTAGGGACGTTGGACTCCAGGAAAAGTAAATAGAAAAATAAGCAACCACCACCACCACCACTATCGCCACCTGAGATGGCTGGGTATGGTTGATCAGGTTGTGGACTGCTCAATTCCAAATGGTACCATAAACCCAGCCTACCATGTATACGATGCTTCCTGGAATTGAACACAACACCCTACCATCACCGCCTAACACTGACGACATTACCAAATGCCTACCACGCAAGCAGCTGTGTCATTTAAACCCCAATAAAAGGAAAGTATGATGATCCCAATTGTACAGATGAGAAAACGTGACACCAACAAGAGCAACTTATCCGAGGAATGGATGGAAAGGGTTTCACCACCTGGTTCCGTAAGACTTTCCTAACCCGTAGTCTCCCACATCACAGGAACGAGGCTGTGTCCATGGTAGGTCCTGGCATGTAGCCAGAACCAGGCCAAAGTGGAACCCAGGGGATCCTTGTAGCTTTAGGGCAGGGCATATGTATCTCCCAGTGCTTCGTCCTTACCATTTAGGGTAGGAAAGGTTTTTAGTCCAATTCCTACCTTCTCCCGTTTTACAGATGAGACAACTGAGGCCCACAAGGAGAAATCATTTTACAGAGTCACACAGTGAGTCTGAAGCTAAGCCTCCCTCCTCTCAGTCCTGATTCAGGAGGTGGGGGTGGCTTAGAATGCAGCTCTGGAGTTGGCCAACTCCTTGACTATATACATTGCTCCTCTGAGACTTTTCCTAGTCTGTAAACACGAGGTTTTCAGCAGGGTAAAAACACTTTAAAATCTCAGCTTTTTAAATCTCAGCCAGGCCTGGCGTGGTGGCTCACACCTGTGATCCCAGCACTTTGGGAGGCAGAGGCAGCAGGCTCACTTGAGCCCAGAAGTTCAAGACCAGCCTGGGCAACATAGAGAGACCCTGTCTCTATAAAAATAAAAAATTATCCAGGTGATGGTACACGCCTGTAGTCCCAGCTACTTGGGAGGCTGGGGTGGGAGGATCGCTGAAGCCCAGGAGGGCGAGTCTGCAGCGTACTGCGATTGTGCCCCTGCACTACAGTCTGGGCAACAGAGCAAGACCGTGTCTCAGAAAAAGAAAAAAAAAAAAAAAAAAACCCTCAGCTTTTATTATTTGTGCCATCAGGCTGCTGCCTGCGTTTCTTCGTCCTCCCTCCCTTCCTGTTCACTCATTCCTTTGTCTCCATACCATTTTCCTGTTCCTGAAATACCAGGCCCATTAGGACATCTAAACCCAGAGGAAGAAAGGTACCAAGGTGTAACCACAGCGACCAGACCCCCCAGCAGGCCACTCCCAAACTACAGATACTCAAGCCTCGGCACTCCTGGGACACGGGCGGCCAGGGAAGTGAGGCCTGCTCTCTTGGAATAAATAAAACCAATTAGGAAGCAGGCACTTGAAGCTCTTCCAGAGGCAGGACGGCTCACCCAGCTGCCCTCAGGCAGCTCTTGAAATGCCAGCGAGCCCGAGAGGCCTGGCAGCCAGGCAGCTCCCACGGCCCATGACCCCAGCCACTCCCCTCCAGAGCACCCAGGCCCTGTCAGAGCAATGGGACGGCGCTGTCAGGGCTGTCAGTCACTTGGAGCTGTGCCTCCAACATGCAGCCATCAGCCACACGTAGCTATTTAAACTCACTTTATGCAACATTAAATAAAATTAAAAATCCGGCTTCTCATCTGCATTAGCCACAAGTGCCCAGAAGCCACACGTGACCAGTGGTTACTGTATCGGACAGTGTACCTCTAGAATAGGGTGGGCAAACTATGGCCCTTGGGCCCAATCCAACCCAGGGCCTATTTTCAAAGGGCCTTTGAACTAAGAACGATCTGTAAATTTTACCAAGGGAAGGTAAAGGGTGAAGGAAGGAGGACGAGGAGAGGGAAGAGCGGCAGTGGCAGCAGAAACCACACGAACACCACAAACGTGGAAACATCGACTATCTGGGACATTTATAGCAATTTGCTGACCTTTGCACTAGAACAGTCCCAACACTGTCGAGTGTTCTGCTGGGCAGTGCTGATTACAGGACAAGTGAGAGGGACGGGTGCTCGCCCCATCACCCAGGCTGCAGTACAATGTCGTGATCTCAGCTCACTGCAACCTCCGCCCCCTGAGTTCAAACAACTCTCTTGCCTCAGCCTCCCGAGTAGCTGGGATTACAGGCGTGAGCCACCATGCCCAGCTAATTTTTGTATATTTAATCGAGATGGGGTTTCATCATGCTGGCCAGGATGGTCTTGAACTCATGACCTCGTGATCTACCTGCCTCGGCCTCCCAAAGTGCTGGAATTACAGGCGTAAGCCACCGTGCTTCCTTTTCCTTTCTTTCTTCTTTTTTTTTTTTTTTTGGTGTCCAGTCCAGGCTAAAATGCAGTGATAGGATCTTGGGTCACTGCAGCCTTGACTTCCCTGGGCTCAAGTGATCCTCCCATCTGAGCCTCCTAAGTATCCAGGACTACCTGGATACCTGCATGCTACCATGCCTGGCTAATATAAGCATTTTTTTGTAGAGATGGAGTCTCCCTATGGGACTCCTGGGCTCAAGCAATCCTTTTGCCTGTGCCTCCCAAAGTGCCAGGATTTTAGGTGTGGGCCACTGTACCCACCTGAAGGGAGGGGAGCGGGGAAAAGGGGAGGGGAGGGGAGGGGAGGAAGGACAGACGGACATGAGAGCATTTTGGATTAGGCATGCTGAACTGATCAGTATAATGCAAATATTCCAAACTCAGAAAAAAATCTAAGTCGGATGTGGTAGCTCAGGCCTGTAATCCCAGCGCTTTGAGGGCTGAGGCAGGAGGATCACTTGAGCCCAGGATTTCGAGACCAGCCTGGGCAACATAGGGAGACCCTGTCTCTACTTTATTTTTTTTAATTAGCCAGGTGTGGCGGTGCTTGCCCATAGTCTCAGCTAATTGAGACACCGAGGCAGGAGAATCACTTGAACCCTGGAGGTGAAGGCTAAAGTGAGCCCTGATCATGCCGCTGCAGTCCAGCCTGGCTGTCAGAGGGAGATGCTGCCTCCGAAGAAAAAAAAAATCTGAAATCCAAAACCTTTCTGGTCCCAAGCATTTCAGATAAAGGGATACGCAACTGTAACATCTCCTAGAAGGGCACTTTGAAATGTGCCCGGTGCAAATGAGAAAGTAGTCTTGTAGGAATGCTAGGAGGTAAAAATAAATGAGGGCATGTTAGAACAGTACCTGGCCCATAGCAAGTGCTATTTGCATGCTGGCTCTTGCTTTCAGGAAAACCTTGTGTGGTGGGGATTTTTATCCCCATCTCAGAAGTGAAGAAACTGAAGCTCCAAGAGATGGAGTGATTAGCAGAAGCCACACAGCTAGGAAGAGGGCAGGACAGTCTCTGACTGCGCCTCTGTCTCCAAGGCGCCATCCCTGGCGTGGTGTCCTGTGGCTCACAAAACAGGGGTAGCAGCCAGGCGCAGTGGCTCATGCCTGTAAACCCAGCACTTTGGGAGGCTGTGGCAGACAGATCATGAGGTCAGAAGATCGAGACCATTCTGGCCAACAGCGTGAAACTCCATCTCTACTAAAATCCAAAAAATTAGCCAGGCGTGGAGGCGCACGCCTATAATCCCAGCTATTCAGGAGGCTAAGACAGGCGAATCGGTTGAATCCGGGAGGCGGCGGTTGCAGTGAGCCGAGATTGCACTACTGCACTCCCGCCTGGCAACAGGGCAGAACTCTGTCTCAAAAAAAAAGAAAGAAAGAAAGAAAGAAGAAAAAATCAGATTAAGCCAGAATCAGCTGGTCATTGGAAACAGTGGGGTTTCATTTCGTCGGGTGCGGTGGCTCATGCCTGCAATCCCAGCACTTGGGAGGCCAAGGTGGGCAGATCACCAGGTCAGGAAATCAAGACCATGCTAGCCAACATGGTCAAACCCTGTCTGTACTAAAAATACAAAAAAAAAAAAAAAAAAAAAAAAAAAAATTGCCAGGCATGGTGGCACGTGCCTATAGTCCCAGCTACTCGGAAGGCTGAGGCAGGAGAATCGCTTGAATCCGGTTAGTGGAGGTTGCAATGAGCCAAGATCGCGCCACTGCACGCCAGCCTAGGTGACAGAGTCCAACTAAAAAAATTAAATAAAAAAAAAAAAAAAAAAAAAAAAAGCGGTCGGGGGAAGCAGGAGTCCATGGGAGGGGACTTTGCTTCCTCTTTCCATTGACTATGAAAGGCCCCTGGAAGGGTGGGGGCTGTTCAATCTAAGAGATCCCCTTAGCCTCAGATTCATTCGTTCCACCAATGTTTACTGAGCAAGTATCATGCGCAGGGCCCTGGTCAAGATACTGGGATACATCAAGGGCAACAGACAAAGGTCCCTGCCTTCACAGAGCTGACATTCCAGTGGGGAGCAAAGAAACCAGCATGTGAGACAAAGACATCAGTGATAAAGGCTCAGAAGGAAATTCGCATGATGAGAGGTGGAGGCATTCCACAGGGGCTAAAGAAAGAAGGGGGTGATGTTTGCACTGAGCCCACACTGATTCTTGGCTCAAATCTATACGAACTTTCTAAATCATCATTTCTCCAAGCTCAGCGGATCAGGAGGTTCCCAAGAGAAAAGCGGCAGGGGACAGGGAGGGGACAACAGCGGGGGGCTGGCAGCACACAAAGCCAGCTCTGGAGGTCACAGCACTTACAGAG